GGTCTAAAATTTCATAAATTGCTAGGATTAAAAATATTATGTTCCCAACAGTGGAATCTCTGTAGTCTTACTTTTCTAGTCATGTAGATAACTGTAGATTTATTAATGAGTCTGCCTGAATTCTGGTGGTAAAAGTTATTTTTCTTATGTCTGTGGCAAACTGACCTTTTCTGCATGCTCCTGAATGATGAAGTCATCCTAACCATTGAGTTATACCCCTTGTGCCACTCGGGCTTGTTTTGCTCTAATAGCAATAGAGTTAATGGCTTTTTTTCCTTTTTTTGTTTTTTCTTTTTGTTTATTTTCTTTAACATCAAAAGCACTATTAGTCATTTAGGAAGTGTAAACTTAAGAAGTTCTTGGTTCTTTTTGTTAGTCTTTATGGCTAAAAATGTTTGAACTACAACAAAAGCTAAGATTGTTTCATAACTATGTTACGGTTCCTAGAAAGCTGAATAAATGTGTTTCCTTGATATGTATCTATGGTTTAAAAGAAACTTGGAATATCATTTGCATGAATTTTAAGTACATGCTTCACTGAAGTTTTTTTTTTTTTAATTAAAAAAGCTTATATGTAGATTTCTATTATTTATATGTGGCAATTGTTCTAGGCAGTAAAAGCAATTTCATAGTCTCAGGCTAAGTAACTTCCTGGAGACTGCAGTGTTATAATAGAAACTTGAAAGAAACTTGAGAAAAATGTCTATTTGATTGTTAGGTAAAATGATTCTTTAGGAATGGCATCTATAAATACAAGATACAACGTTTTCATTAAACGTAAATAACTAAATAATAAAAAAAATACCTGATTTTGTGTTTCTTTGTACATAAACATCTCTAGAAGTCATTTTTTGTTTTTTTCCTTGTAAATTGTGGGAAATTCAATTAATCCTCTGAAAGTTGAGACATTTCTTGGAAATGTAAAATAGTCATTGTATGTCTTGGTCAATATTTTCTAAAGTGTTGAAGAAACATTTAAACATCTTCTGAAAAAAACTTACCATTTGGGGCAAGCAAACAAAAAACCACAGAATGACCTGCAATTTTGGCTCAAATGGAATGTTTCTTTGGAGACACTTCTTGCTATGTTCTGCAGATAATCTGTTCCTAATCTTGGTTACATTTAGTTTTAGAATTGGGACTAATGTAACTGTAAGGTTTACACTAGAGCAATTTGAGCCAAAAGGACTAGTTTGTTTTGAAATTTTCCACTAAATACAATGACTGCTGATAGCAAGTATGTCATTGTGGGTTTTTGTTTTTTCTAATGGTAATTGGATTCCTGATATTTTTGTAAACTGTCAAGATTTAAGAAGAGTAGCAATGGTAGATCCAGAATGACTGATGCATTTCACATATTTTGCAGAGGAAAGCTGAGATTGGGCATTTAGAGGTTCTAGTTCAGATATTAGTCTAGGATTTTTAAATCAATTCTGTGTGGAACTGAGCTTCCAGAAGTGCTTTGGAGACAGTTAGCCTACCAAAAAGTTGTGAGTGTTGTTCACTGCATAGTAGAGCCTAGAAAGTGTATTCATTGAGTTATTAAAAAAAAAAATAGTAGTTCTGAATAGTGACATTGGTCATATTTAAAGGAAGTCATTAAAATTTCAAGCTTAGATTTGGCATGCAGAGCTTTTAGCCGAACTCTTTGTGGTATTTCGCCTTTTTAGTACGCCATTCCCTGGTGTCTCCATAAACATATGAAGATATGTTGACAGACATGTTTTTGTTTGTCACCCGAGGCTCACACGCCCCAGTTGGTTTCCCTGTGTCCC